CACACACACACACAAATAAATAAAATTTAAAAAAAAAAAAAAAAAGGGGGCCCAAAAAAAAAAAAAAAAAAAAAAGGAGTGTCCCACAAATGCTACCGTAGTAAAACTGGCAGAGTCTACAGTGTTAACCACATGGTATAAGCATTATTGTATGAACAAGCACGTTAAGGGTAAGATACTTGTCAAGACGAATAATGTGGGTATTAAGCATACTAAACTTGGAGATAACTTTCCTAAACTTGTCAAAGAAAATGATCAGAAAAAGAAGGAAGCCAAAGAAAAAGGTACCTGACTTCACCTGAAGCCCAGCTTGCCCTGCTCAGAGAAGCACACTTTCGTGAGCCCTAATGGGAAGGAACCTGAGTTGCTGGAATTAATGCACTATGAATGGCATAAACTGGGGATGTAGCTGTGCCACTGAGCATCTAAATAGCAGTCAAGTGTTCCAGGTCCTGATTAAAAATTAAAAAAAAAAAAATTAAATCCTGTGTTGCAAGGGTGATTTTCTTAATTGACCAGGTATGTCATGCCTTTACCCCAGAAACAAATATATTTGGAGCAGATTCTCATTGTACCTAGTTAATTTTGTCAGGCCTTTACTCTTCTGTGTTTTTCTTGCTGAAAGATAATGCTGAGATGCTGCGTAGTTGTATACTGAAATGGCCAGATATTTATGAAATATTTATTTTACTTAAAGATCATGAAAAATACCATGGGGGAAAGATACAGCAAAATAAATGGCTGGGGAGAAAGCTCGGCGGTCTAAGTGCCTGTCTGGCAAGCACAAGGATCTGGGTTTGATCCCCGGTACCATATGTCATGCCGGCCCAGGGCCCCAAGCCAGCCACTGAACCAGGCATGGTGGCGCACACCTGTAATCCTACCACTGGGGAGGCTGAGACAGGAGGATCACTATGAGTCTGAAAATAATTTTTAAAATAATAAAAATAATGAAGTCACTACATAGCATTTCACCTAAATTGTTGAAAGCACCCAAAATAATAATAATTTGATACTAAAGCAGTAGGCCTGAGTACATCCAATTTGAGTGCAAAGCAAGCAATACATTCTTCAAAGAAAGTAAAACCAAATTTAAGGGGAAAATTTTTTTAATATTAGTGAGGTTTTTACTGAGTTTTTTAGTAAGGCTAGGGGTCTAACTCAGAGCCTCGCTCATGGTAGACAAGTGTTCTACCACTCAGCTCCCCTTCACTCTTGGCTCCAAGTTAAGACTTTAAAAAACAAAAACAAAACAAACTGTTGAAAGATTTTCTACAAAATCTACATAAAACTTGAGTCCCAGACAATTGGTAATTTAGCCATATACTGGCTTAACTGGAAAGGGGTAAGAAATCAATCACTACTTAGGAGAGAGGAGTCCTTACACTCTAGAGGTCCATCTTAAGATGAGCTTTGGCATCCTTGCAAATTCCTGGTCTGCCTCCTCTTGCCCTTCCCTTTACCATGCTTTGCAGACAATACTTTTTCTGTTTCCTTTTTTTCCCCACACATGGCAAGTTACTGGTGACCTCTGCATCAAGTATGTCTATTAGCCATTGTTCCAACAGCATGTGCTCATTTCAAGTTTCAATGTCACATTTTTGTAATTCTCACAATATTTCATAAGTTTTCATCTTCCCCTCTTTCTTTTTTCTTATGGTAGTGAGGGTTGTGCCCAGTCCCTGGACACTGAGTCACATCCTCAGCTCTTTGTATTCTGAGGTAAGGTCTCTCTGTATTGCCCAGGCGGGGTTCAGACTTGTGATCTTCCTGCCTCATTCCCTCAGAGTGCTGAAGCTGCAAATGTATGCCACACTTGGCTTTGAATTGTCTAATGATTATTGTGTCTGTTGCAGTGGTCTGAGATCTTTGATGTTGCTATTATTGTTTTAAAATGTACCATAAACTGTGCTATAGAAGATGTCAAATGCAGTGTTTCTGTTTTTGACTGCCCAGTTGAGCAGACTTTTCCACATCTCTTTCCACCTCCTCAGGCCTCACTAATCTATAAGACAACCATATTGCATATTAATACCCTATATCAGTGGAGGTGAACGTATGGCACACGCACCCCATGGGCATACAGAGCCCTCTGTGTCAGTACATGAGCCAAGTTGCCCCAGCAACTGTGCATTGGATAACAGTTGTTTTTTTCCTAAACTAAAACCTCAGTATTCAGGTTTACTTGCAATGTTGTCACTTGGCAATAAATAAGTGGGTTTGGGTTGCAGTTTGGGCTCTCGGTCTCTAAAAGTTTCACCAACCCTGCCCTACACAATGCTCAAACAAAGGAGAATCTCATATCTCTTACTTTAAGTCAAAAACTAAAACTGACTAAGTTTAGCAAAGAAGGCCTGTCGAAAGCCAAGAGAGGCCCAGAATGATCTCACATACTTATAATCCCAGCTACTCAGAAGACTGAGGCAGGAGGATCTCAAATTCAAGTCTAGTCTGGACAATTTATCAAGACTCTGTCTCAAAATTAAAAAAAAAAATGAGCTGAGGATGTAGCTCAGTGATAGAGCACCATTGGATATTGTATTTAATCCAATATCAGAGAGAGAGAGAGGAGGAGGAGTAGAGAGAAGAGGGGAGAAAGGAGAGGGGAGAGGGGAGATGGGAGAGAGGAGAGAGAGAAACAGAGAGAAAAACAGAGAGATAGACAACCCAAGATAGGCTACAGACTAAGTCTTTTGTGCCAAAGAAGCAATCTGTCATGCAAAGAAAAAATTATTTTTTGTTTGTTTTGGAGGTTTTTTGTTTTGTTTTTGAACTTTCTGAGACAGGGTCTCACTACACAATTCAGGCTGGCTTTGAGTTCACTTTGTCACCCAGGCTGATCTTCAATTCACAAGATTTTAAAGGAAATTGAAAAAGCTATGCCAGTGAACAAATTGTAGAGAGGTAAAGCAGTTTTATTGCTGATATGGAGAAAGTTTTAGTGACCCAGGTAGAAATTTAAACCAGACACAATGTTCTCTTAAACCAAAGTTTAATCCAGAGAAAGACCCTAACTCTTCAATTCTGTGAAGATTGAGAGAGAGAAGGATGTTGCTGAAAAAAAGTCTGAAGAGCTCATATCCTGATGTTTGAGGAAAGAAGCTATCTTCATAAATAAATATCCAAGATAAAGCAGCCAGTGCTTATGTAGAAGCTGCAGGCAGTTATCTAGAAAAATGGGCAAAGATAACTGATAATGAAATAAGATATAATCACTCAGGCTATCTCTGCCTCACTTTCATTTTCTGTGCATCATTTCGTGTCTCTGGCTATAAATATAAGTCTACTCATGTATTATTACAGCAGGCAGGTCATTTTGAATCATTTTTGGTCCAGACTATTGCCAATTCTAGAATTTCAAATGAAGCCAATTGACATCTTAAAGACTAGGTTTGTTGAAATTT